TTTTTTTGCAATAATATTGTACGGTCAGAATAATAATTTCCCGGTTGAAGTTGGGAGCACGGGCAGGAACAGGATGGGTCGCGCAAGCTGACGGAGGGCCGCTGTCAGCCTCATTGCTTAACATGCTCCACACACCACACACGTTTCACGGTTGACCGTCACCTCGTCGGCAGCAAGAAGATTGCCACAATAGAGCGTAGCTCACCCTTGAGCCTCTTCCAGCTCAAGCGCTACAGTACTAGTATATCAGGATGATGAAGCAAACGGGCGAGATCGTTGTTGCGGTCGACCCTCGGCACCGAGGCGTGGATGGATCAAGGTACATGAGCTCGCCCGTACCGCAGTGTTTGTTCTACCTCTCAAACCTTCGGCACCGAGTGTACTTAAGCGCCAGCGCACTGCGACGGACTCGACATGACACGAGTGTGGAGGAAGACCTGGACAAGTCCGAGGAGTATTTATTATAATACGACAGTACTAATATGCGCTGCGCTATTAAAAAGACACGACACACCGAATCAATAACCTGGGATGCTGGTACACCACGTAAACGCTCTTACCAGGATAATACGACAGTATTTATATGCGCTGTGCCATTAAAAATAATCGCATTTTAATTGCCGTCTCATCGCTTCCACACAAAAAACGCCGAGCCGCCTTGAAGTAGGAGAATAACGTGTTCAATAAATGATTCACAGTTTTTTAGAATGCATACAAACAGAAAGTACAAGCCAATCGGTCGGTCAATAGAAACATCCAATTCTGACGCTTTTTCGATGCGTCGACTTCTTAATTCCCCACAAATGAGGAATCACGCGACAGCGCGAAGGCAAGGGCTCTAAAATACAGAGCAAGCCTTCTTTTTTAGTATGATGCCTTCAGATGTCTCGTAGCTGCATTGGTTGTCGAGAAATATCATTTTGGAGTAAGGCCTCATTTTCGACAAAAAGCGGTCGGTCAATCGCCATTTTGCCTTAGTTGTATAGTCTTTAGTCTGTATAGAACATTGAATCCATATCATATCTGCGTTGCAGTTTAGCCAATCCAAGCGCCTACTTGTGTGCTTTAAGGCGACTACTTGTCAAAATATTCTATGGTTTTTTCATCTACTGCGTCTGATTCGTTGAAAGGCAGCACGAACAGCTCGAGCCGCATCGCTGCTCTCGAAAGTTTTGAAAGTTTCCTCATCCAAATTTTGGAATCGTTCTGTGGCGTTTCATCCGACGCAAATGAAATGCCGCGCGGCCCAAAATAGGCGTCGTTACAAACCCTATGGTATTTATGTACTCTCGGTGGTACGGTGCAAGCGTATTTTTTATAGCACCCTGCAGAAGTTATTGAAACTGCATTGATACGTAGGTATCTGATCTACTTATGGGGTCCATGAAGGACGCTATTAGGTAGGAAGAAAAACTGTGTGTAAAGAAGCCAAATGGAGCTACGAAACACAATCATGTATTTAATACACAGTAGCAATGAAATATGTCCTGAAAAGGATTTATCCAACAATGCAGAGCAAGAAACCTCAGCAACGCCAGGAGCAACACTAAATAATAGCAACGGAACAATCGTTTCGCTCGTACAATCGCTCTCTGATCAAAGATGCTCTAACTACGGTAATCCGACTGAGGATTGTGCTCTTAAATCGTTTTCATTTCTAGAATATGCACAATTTGACGCATTGGCTGCTACAACGAGTTGTATCTAACGGCCAGAGCTGAACATACGATATGATTGCCAACATTTAACGGCTGTATGCCTTGTTAATAGCCCAACGACCACGTCTGCTCAAATGGATGTGGTAAAGAAAACTAATTACTATCCAGTATGCCGTGCTTCTAGAGGCTACATACTATGTATGCACTAAGTCTGTTTTGATCTTTTTTGTAATATATGGTCTTCGTAAAGAATCTGTCACTGATTGTACACTAACGCACTTCTTATAAAATGACCCTAAAGGAGTGGCGCTAGTAGCATGATGGTCAGATACAAGAGCAACTAGCGAGCAACTAGCGAGTCCGCGTACGACGCGATGTTTTAGTCGCTTATCGATTGAACTAGCCTAGCGTGTATAATATGATTACTTAAAAGTATGAACGAACTTGCTCAAAAATTGCCATAAAACCCTGACATTAATCAGCATTATATGCAGGCAAGAAAACCAGATACACCTCGTTAACAAAAAACAAAGTATTCGGATCAATGTAAGGCGTAAAGTATATCCTGCTCCCCCACCACAAGGTATAACATTTCACAAATATCGGTTACCTTAGCCTGTCGTACGCGCACTTGTACCTGCAGCGTGAGAAATTATATGTGCGCAATCGATGCTGTTCGAATGTGCACATTAAGTGAGTGCAATATGATTTACTCTCTCTACTTCTCAAAGGAACAAGGGGTGAGGAATTGATTAGCCCTGTGGCACTGAGTTCATTCTATTCTGGTTGTTTCGAGAGCATAAATGCACCATTCTTGTCGCTTCGGAATTGGCGGCCACAAGGGCAATGTATTTCACAAGCTGTGCGCGATGTCCGAAGAGCGTCTGTCTTTCTGTCCATTAGGTCCTCAACGTGGACATAAACGGACATTGGACTGCGAACTTACGCTTTGAACGGAAAACTGATTGAAATCTAAATTTCGTAGGACAGTCGTTCTCAACCATGACAGTCGTTCTCAACCATGTTAAAAGAAATTGAACAACTACGGTCCACCACGATCGGAGCTCATTCAAGATTTGAGTGTGTCCACACTCGTCCAGAACTGGTCCAAAAAATGTCTCTATGCATATCTCTGACT